ACATGTTTTAGAAATTCTGGATGAATTAAATAGGACTTTGAAATGTGTTTTTGGATACATGCAAACTTGTTTGAATTTTATCTTAAGTTTCTGTGGTCCAAAAATTATGAAATTTTGTGGGCAGTCTATGATTGCTTATTAGAAGCTCTGGTTAAAATTTCAGAGCTAGTGAATGTGTAGTTTTTAAGTTATAGAATTTCCTTTTATTAATGGGTGGATCTTGTGTGAATTTTCATAATTTTTCTATAGATCCAGTGAAGGTGAAATTTGATGGGTGCTATTTTTATGCTAGAAAGATGCTAGGAAAAATGGGAAATCTGTTGCTTGACACTTTTTAATAAGGTTTCCTAATTATGCTAAAATTAGACATGCCACCTATTATTTTGGATACAACAAGTTATGTTTGCCCAATGGCTTTGAAATTTTTATGGTAGTCTATTTGCAGCATGAGATAGCTACTGTAATTTTTGTAGATTTTTATGAATAGTTTTACTATATATTGCTTAAATCACCTAATTAACTAAATAAATTGGAAAAGGATATTAAATAAATTATTAAGAAGTTGGCACTATACTTTCTAATGTTTCTTAGGTATGAAAAACAAGTTGGTAAACTTGGATTGATCAAATTATGCTTTTGCATCATCATTAAATAATTAAGTTAGCAACCCTGCCATTGCGGGACAGATTCTAGGTCTACTGGAATTTAATTGGGTTAACTTAAGAATCATGCTTTGATGTTTACAAATGAATTGTAGAGAATTTCATAAGCTTTCCAGAATGTCCTCTTGCAAGTCATTTGGATTTATAGAACTCTGGTTATGATTGAATTAAGTAACTACTTGTTTGCATATGAAGCTTTAAATCATTATTTTAAGTATGTCTTTACTATTTCTAAGTTTGTGGTACTGTTCCTAGGTGTTAGGCCTTTAACTGAAGATGAGCATCTTTATCTTAGGTTATGCAAGTTAGGTAAGTTGCTCTTGTTCTTTAAGTTAAGTTCGATACATGCTTAAAGTGATTTGAATAGAGCTAATTACTTTCGGTAAACGAGTGTCCAAAGATGCTTTCGTAAACACTCACTTTGTGATTCATTCATCATGAGCATCATGTCATTCCTTATGCATCCATGATATTTATCTTTTGCATCGGCATGCAATAGGTGTACGGAAGGAGTAACCTGCTGGAATTGAGGAACTGAAAGCGAAAGCGGCGGCAGAATGACATCGGAGATTCGGGAGGAGCAGACCTTCAGAGAAGTGCGAGACGAGGTCGCCGTTGAGTGCCCCTGACCACCGTCCTTGCAACTTTGTGAAAGGCAAGCCGGAGCATATTAAGCCTCCTAATTTCTGAAATGCGCTTACATTATTATTATTATATATCTATATATATTTGTTGCATTAAGTTTAGGTGTTGGATGCAAACCATTGCTGCATTGGTTACCCAATCCTTGTCCGGATATTGTTACCACAATCCTATGTAGCTCAGGCTCGAGTAGTGCTTAGCCACCGCTTAAACGCTAGAAGTCGGGTGATTTCACACTGCGAGATATAGGAAGATACATGTGGCACGGTTGGCTATATTTGCTATCGTGAAAAAGAACCAGTCTTAAATTGAAATGAAGACCGGACGGAGGCTTGCCGCTTTGCAGTGACTCCGTCAGTCGCTTAAGGACCGATTCTTGGAGCCTTTCCTGTTCATGTTGAACGCATGCCTCTCTCTTAGTTGGCCAGTGTCCGATGACCGACCGTGAAGCCGAGTAGCTCACCTCGGGCCGAGTCGATAAGTATAAAGTGCGCCTCGGAAGAGAGCCGTGGCGTGAGTCCAAGGGCGGTGATTTAAAAGTCCCGATCGTCTGGCGGAAGGGTAATCCCCGAGAGTCTTTGGCGCCGATCGAACCCACGAATTTGGTTCTGAGATGTTCCAAAGGTGACCCACGGCTACCCTTGCAAAGTATGCCAGGTGAGAGTTAGGAATACCCCTCACCTGAGTTGTAATTCGATTCAATCGCCGCCTCTCCTTGTTAGTGAGAACTTGACGGGCTTATCTCCAATGTAGATTCACCGAATAACTTAATGGTTCGGAAATGATGATATGATGATGACAAATTTATTATACCCTGCTATGGTTACTATTGTTTGCTCCTAATAAGTGAGTGCTCTAGTATGCAAAAAGCTAATCTAGTGGACAGGTAACTAATGATAAGTTTAATGCTAAGTTTAAATTGGTTACTATAATCATAAGCTCTTTTATGCAACCTGTGTCAAGCTAGCCCACCGAAAAGCCTTGCATGATCCTTGGTGTCTTTTATTTCTGATTTTTGTCGGGTAAGTCTAGCTGAGTACCTTCTCGTACTCAGGGTTTATTTCCCACATTGCTGCAGATGACCGCTTCTTTGGTTGTCGCAAGTAACGCCTTCTCCTACTTTGGGGATGAAGACTAGACCATTGGGCGCGGTCTCTACTAGTTCTCGTACCTGATAATGCTTTTGTGGGACATGACTCTAATCCTGGCAATGTATTTGAAACTATGAAGTTATGTACTAAACTATGTTGCTTCCGCACACTCAAACTTGGTTTGTAATATTTTATTTGAACTCTGATGGATGTAATCCGAATGCTACTTGTGAAATGTTGTAACGAATGATGTGTTGTGTTGAATCATTACGATCTTGGTTTGTATGTCGAGAGTTGGTTGAAATCCTTCGTGATTTCTGGACTACCGGGATTATGGGACCTTAAGTATAGGAATTTGATCGCTTCGGTGATTGTTTTTGTACTTACGTTCTTATGATTTGGTCGGTTCTGTTACACCAGGTGTTTATTTTGGAAGTGACAAATTCCAGGTTCCAAGCCTCTGACATATATGTGTTTGTTGTCTGTATTTTTGTAGTGCAACTAACATATCTATGTTTATATTAGCGAATAAGCACCACAAACTCTAGCAATTCGCAGCATCAACAGACAATACATCTTACAGGATCAAAACCTTTTTCACAAGTTAGTTATGAGCAGGTAATGATATGGAACATAATCTTCTTCTTTTATTTTGTACCTAAACAGTAACAATGTTCAATTTTCACATCTTAGAGAAACCTGGAGACCGGTGAAGAGCCGATGGTTTGACATTTTGAGGAGTACACGCACCAAGGAGGGCCGATGGTCTTCCGATGTCGCTAAGGAAATATATGTAAGTGCTACTTTGTTCATTAGTACTTAGTGATGTTGCAATTATATATAACATAATTATTATATTGATGGTTGTACATGCCCTGATTGGGTGATAAAAGGTCATCATCTCCTTGTCCTTGTGCTGGGTTTGGCAATCCTATCTTTAGTTTCTTATTTATGCTATTTTCAGCTGTGCCACCTGTTCTTTTTGGTATAGCAAGTTTGGATGAGCCAAATGCTTCCAAACTTTTTCTGTGGTCTCCTGATAGCATAGGGTAGCTGCTGTAATTTTTATAGAATTTTCTATGCAAGTCTTGTATATGGTCTTTTATTCATCCTTGTATCTATTTAAATTTAGAAAAGCATCAAATAATTTTATTTTATGATGGCCATCATATTTTCTGGTGTCCATGAGTTATGTATGTTGCCATGATATGGTTGGTATGGTCCAAATGTAAGTTTGGAACATCGTTAATTCTTTAAGTGAGATGTTGGTCCCATCTGGACAGATCTGGGGACTTAGAGAAGTTCACCTTGATAAGTTGGTTTCCTGGGAAACTTGTGAATACCAAAGTCAAAGATAATTGTCATATATAGCTTCTGTTCAAATTTGAGGTCATTTGGCCTAGTGGTTTGAAAGTTACAGCTGTTTGAAGTTACCTCCCAGTTTTTGGGTGCTTTCTGTTTCAGCAGAGTAGTTTCTGTAATTCTGCTATTTCGAAGTACTTAAGTTCTGAATCATGCTTTGATGTATGAAGATGAAATCTCGAGAATTTTATAAGCTTTCTAGAATGTCCTTTTGCAAGTTATTTGGACTTGTATATCTCCATATATGATTTATTTTCTGTATAGCTGTTGCATGCCCAGATTTCTGGGAACTTGCTGGAAAGCAAGTTGCTTATGTTAGATGCTTTATGTAGTTAATTATATTCTTTAAAGTGATTTGAATAGAGCTGGGCTACTCGGTAAAGGAGTGTCTAGTGATGTATGTTCTCATAACATATTTTATTCATTTATCTCTAATGTCATACATATCTCTGAAATGCTAGAGTTCAACTGTCCATTGCTTTTTACCTCTCAACATGCTTTGGTAGGAATCATATTTGTATGATTAACATGGACTTGGATTTTTTGAGGAAGTAATCAGTACATGAATCTAACTGATACAGTTTGATTTCTAAAGTATCCATTTTACCTAATTCTTATTATACTTGAATTGGAACTGCTATTGCTACTTGCTAAAGTTGAAAACACTAATTGTGTTCTTAAATTTAGGAAAGCGCTTTCTCCAAAATTGCAGAGAGAATTGAGTTGGAAGCTTCTGTGATTTCAAAAGAACAAGAAAGGCACATTCTTCATGAAACCTACAAGGAAACCACTGGATGCAGGAGCAGGAAAGGTCCTGGACATGGATACTTGGCAAAGTATCCGACCCGAAGCCAACTTATGAATGAACGAATTGAAGAGCAAGCTCATGCATCTGCATTAGCAGCAGCAGCCCAACAGAAGAATAGTGAGATGCAAGCTGAGGTAGAGAAGTTAAAAGAAAAGCTTACCGTTCAAGCCGCTGGGAGGGAGAGTGACAAGGAAAAAATTCAGCAGCTGCAACATCAACTGGAGAGTACAAGTAGCAAGATTAGAGAAGAACTAAGGCAAGAGTTTTTTCACTAATCAAACAACACAATCAAGCACTGCCTTTGGTAATAATACTACTTCTTAATTGTTACCAACATCATTGATTTTAGTAAAGCTTGATTGCTAATGTTTCTCCTTATAACTCCAATGCAAGAATGCTGCACCAACCACAACAGCCCCTCAGCCTGCAGAAAATATGGTTAGTGGAAATGAAGGTGCAGATTTAGCACAGGTATATTTTTTGATAAATGTAAACTGCGATGTAATGGATACCTATATTTAATCTGACATAATGTGTGAATCTTTTTTTAAAATATGAAGGCTGGTACAGAATCTGCCCTGCCCACACATAATGAACCTGCTATTGTTCCGACTCCCATCCAAGGATCAAAACATGTGCAACAGGTAATATACTTCAAAATTATCACCTGCAGTTGAACAGATTCTTAGAATTGCTAAGTGGTGATTGCTCCTTCAAATTTTCTGGTTTTTACAGACTGTACCAGACAGTGTATTGTTGAGCAAACAGAAGAGTATCCAACCTAGTCGCCTCACTCGCAGCGCCAACAAATCACTTTTCCCAAATGATAAAAATAGTAATGAGACAGTGACATTTATTACATCACAAACACTGAGGAATACTGCTGCAAATAAAAAGCTACAATGCAGAAAGAAAGGAGGAAAGGTATGAGCAATCAGGTGTCATTTTAAGTTGTTGTCCAGATTATTAACATGAACTTTGTTCACTTATACATGTATGTTTGTTCACTTAACATGAGCAATCAGGAGTTCATGCCTTATGTGTTTATAGTTCGACTTCAGTATCCATTCTATTTGTTAAACCCAAAAATATTGTTGTCTATCATGTATTGTCTATGTTTGATTCCAACTGTGTGATCAACTATATATATTACTAATGCATGTCATTTTGACTTTTTTAGGAAGATCAACCTTGAGTCTTGGCAAGCTGAAATGAATCAAATATTGTGCAACGAGAAAGATGTCATGTTGATCTGTGCTAAGAGACATGTATTTTTGTTTATGATTGCCTATTTGTAGCATAAGTTAGTGGTTTGTAATGCAGTTCAACTTTGCAATTACCTATTTGGAAATAGGAAGGCATTTGACTTCCTTACATTGTACAAACTATTGAATGCTTATGATCCAAGTTATTAATATGATTGCCTTTTTGTGCCATTAAATTTTGTAATTTTATGAATTTCTGTGCAATGAATTTGATGCAATAATTGGTTGCCCTTCAAATCTCATGTCGATGCAATAGTTTGTATTGCATCCAAGCTCATGTCGATGTGATAGTTTGTATTGCATCTAACCTCATGTCTATGCAATAGTTCGAATTGCATCGAACATAACGTCGATGCAATAGTTCCTATTGCATCGAACCAAAATGATGATGCAATAGAACCTCTTGCATCGAATCAAAATGGTGATGCAATAGATTATATAGCATCGAACCTAATATGGATGCAATATAGTATATTGCATCGAACGATAGCCGTTGCAATAGATGTATTGCATCAACATGATTTGGATGCAATAAGCTATTGCATCTCTCAATTTTGATGCAAGAGACAACGGATGGACGATGCAATAGATGCTTCTCGCATCAACCACAAGTAACCGATGCGAAAGGCTATTGCATCAAGACCACTTGCATCGGCTGGCATCAAACGAGAAATTGATGCGAAACTGAACTATTGCATCTATTTTAGACCTATAACATCAAAAATTGACCGGTGCAACAGGGTCAAAATTTAGTAGTGATATCTCGAGTCTTCTCTTGTGCTTCTAGGGTCTTGCTTATGGTGTTGATCATCGGATCATCACGTCGCCATCATCCAAGTCACGTCTTGCACCCTATTGGACTACAAAACAATCACTTGTAAATTCATTAGTCCAATTTGGTTATGTTGGTCATCAAACACCAAAATCAAAAGTAAATGGGCCTAGGGTCCATTTTCCTTATAATCTCCCCCTTTTTGGTGATTGATGACAACACGACCGAAACAAGCAAATAATAAAATTTTTGGAATTTTAAAAACTATTTACTTACTAGGATGCAATGCAAAGGGCAAGGTTATATGATACTAAAAAGATACCACTTGTAAGACTAAAAGGTACCATTTTGAAGATACCAATTGTAAAGCTAAAAGGTACCACATGTAAACATCTTTGAAAACTTATCTTGCCATTGCAAATGTCCCCATGTGGCATTATGGATTTAAGCCTTGCTTTTTGGTCCTACAAATTCTCCCCATTATATAGACTAATCCATAATTCACTATCTTCCCTTTCTCGGACCATTACTACTTCTAAATTATTATGATCTTGCTTTTGGTCCTGCAAATTAATGCTTGCTTTTGGTCCTCTAAATTCTCCCCCTTTGGAATCAAACACCGAAAATGAAGACATTAGTAGCACAAGGGAGGGTCAAACTTTGTGATCCTTTGTATGTGGAGTGGAATAGGTCGCAAAATTTGACTCTCACATTGCAAAGACTAAGCTCCCCCTAAATATATGCATACATATGATGGAGAATGTAATTTATGCATAATTGGCAAATTAATGCTTAAGGGAGTTTAATCTATATAATGCATGGAGAAAGCATATAAATACCAAAGTGAAATCAGCATGATGATATCAGTTTAGAAATACCACATGTGGAAACCAATTAGATTTCTACCACTTGCAATAGGTGGTGGATATTTGAAGTATGATGCTTAACTCCGGGGACTCCATTTTCCTTGCAATGAGACTACTACACACATGATAAGCTTGAAAAGGTGTTAGTCTCAAAGCATCCAACTTGTAGAGTAACCTCACCCTAAATTTGTGCACACAAGTATGGAATACTTGTAGGAGTCATGCACATTGATTTTAGAATCAACCATACCATTTGAAAGATGACATCACATGAATGTGAGAATCATTTTCAAAGGTGATATTCGGGAGAAATTATCTGCAATTTGGACTTTGGCAGATATTAGACGAACAATTGTAAAACAAGCTATGTGCCATGCTCCTAAACAATTGAAACCATGTAGGTTTGCTCCAAGGGTTAAGAATGAAACCGAGCAAGCCTACCATAAGATATACCTAGTGTATGCATGGCAAAAGATATAAGCATGCAAATGCAAACCTATGCATGAAAAGGAACTAGATGCTAAAAGATACCAATTGTAAGAAACTAAATCTAGTTACCTTGCATGGGAAGGGGAATTTGGGTCCATAGTATTCACTAACCCACTTGGCAATGACTTTGTCCATAATGATGCACCCCATGAAATGCACCCATACTTTGCCAAGTGTCCAAATTCCCCGAAAGTCCATCGGACTTTTCACTTCCCTTTTAGGATCCAAACCTTTTTGGTGCTCTTCATATTTGAAATGATCTCTTTTGGCACCCAAAAGCATTTGACCCCATTGTTGGCTTTTTTGTTCACCTTGATGGCCACCACCTTGTCATTTTTCTTCTTCTTCAAGAGATAAGGCGTGGAGGCCTTCTTGTCCGCCTTGTTGGTGTAGGTGTTGGAGAGCTTGCTTGTTTGCTTTTTCTCTTTCTTCTTTGCTCCTCCCCCATTCTTCACCTTGCACTCATAGGACTTGTGGCCTTCCTTGTGGCATATGTAGTAAACCACGGTTTGTCCTTCATCAAGCTTCTTCACTCCCTTGACGGTGTTATCTTGATGAAGTTGGGCTTGCTTCGTCTTGCCTTTCACTTGAGTCAAGTCCTTGGTGAGGCGAGCCACTTCTTGCTTGAGTTGCTCATTCTCCATTGCAACCTCTTGTGTGCATGTATCAACAACAATTTTCTCAACACAAACTTGGTTGCACAAGGGTGAGTCTAAATATAAATCATTACAAGAAGTAGAGGCATCCTTTTTAGGCATGTCAAAAATTGAACCTTTCTTTTTAGGTGCCTCAGTGGGGGTAGAACCGACGGCTTCAAGATTAGCAACTTTATTAGTTAGCTCATCACAATGTTTGCACATAGTTTCAATTTTAGCTAGCAAACTTTTATAAGCATCTTGTGAGCTAGCTAACTTTTTTCCTTTAATTTTTCATTTTTCTTTACAAGTTGCTCATCATTGATTGTACAATTATTTGTGTTTGCACTAGTCTCAAGTTGCTCAATTTTAGTTGATAGCTCCATATTAAGATTGGCAAAAGTTTCATATTGTTTAAGTAAAGTAGCATAAGCTTGTTGAGAGCTATCTACTTTTTCTTTTAATTTTTCAAGCTTCTTTTGTTGACTAGTGCAAACTTTAGCAAAGTTAAGATTTTCTTGTACAATTTCATCATAAGAAGGTAGCTCATCATCACTATCACTATTGATAGACTTTTTGTTACCTCGTGCCATAAGGCACACACGTGAGGTGCTTGATGATGAGTGCTTGTGCCCTCGCCTCTTGTGATGATCTTCTTCTTCACTTGAAGAATCATCCCATGACCTTATTAATGTGAGGGCTTTGTCCTTGCACGCCTTCTTCTTTGTCTTGGGTGTGGGCTTGTTTGGACAAACTTCCACAAAGTGCCCCAACTCGCCACATCCATAGCATCCTTTCTTTCTTTGCTAATTTCTTTGATTGGTGAAGATGAAATCTTGAATTTGGATGGGCACACCCTTGACATTGAGCCTTTGGATCATCTTCTCCACCTTGTTGATAAGTTTGATTGATTCTTCATCAAGGTCGGAGGTGGAGGAAGATTGATCATCATCACTTGAACCTTCATCATCATCATCATGCTCATCTTCTTCTTCATCTTCACTTGAGGAGCTTGATCTTGAGCTTGTCTCAACTTGCTTGCCCTTCATCTTCTTTTTCTCACTACATGTGAGAGCTTTGCCTTTGCTTGATGAAGAGGCTTCTTCTTGACCCATATAGCGTGATATTTCAAATGCCACCATCTTGCCAATGACTATGGCCGGGGTCATGGTGCTCAAGTCCTCCATGTTGTGAAGGATGGTGATGATGCTTGCATATTTCTTTTATGGTAGCACGGAGATGATCTTCCTCACGATGTTCGCATCATCTAGCTTTGTTAATCCTATTGAATGGAGCTCATTGATGATTAGATTCAAACGAGAATACATATCATGAATATGCTCATCATCATTCATTTTAAAGGAATCATGATTTTGTTTAGCTAGACAATGTTTTTGCTCATGGACATTAGTTGTGCCGTCATGGAGCTCTTGGAGTTTTAACCAAATTTCATGTGCCATATTTAAAGTGAACACTTGGTTAAACACATCCATGCTAAAAGATTCAAACAAGCAATTCTTAGCTCTAGCATTAAATTGAATTTCTTTTTCTTTACTCTTTATGGGTTTATCGGGATTCTTAATGGGTTTCATCCCATCATGAGTGACTCTCCAAACACCCAAATCTACCACCTTAAGGTGACAAGCCATTCTAGCTTTATAGTAGGGGAAGTTAGTGCCGTCAAAGTGCAGAGGCCTAGAGGTATCCATCCCAACCACTCTAAATAGTATCGGCTCAACGGCGGTGAAACCAAAGGTCCAAATTGAGCCAACCGGCTCTGATACCAATTGTAGGGGACTGTGACGCCTAAGAAAGGGGGTGAATTAGGCAACTTAAAACTCTAACTCAAAACACTCTACACTATGGTCTCTTTTTCTAACCTTAGCAAAACCTATGCAAAAGACAAACTATCTAAATGTGTAACTATAGTTTTGCTAGTGTGTTGCTATCTCTACCGCAAAAAGGAGTTATGCAAACAATGTAAATGCGGAAGCTAAAGAGTAAGATAGAGATATGCAAACTCCCGTCAATGTCTTCGATATTTTTACCAAGGTATCGAGAAGCGCACAAGCTTCCCCCTAGTCCTCATTGGAGCCCCTCCCAAGGAATCCCTTGCAAGGGCCAAGCTCCCGGTCGGGTAACTCTGTGGATAGCCCTGAGCCTTCCTC